ATCCAACGGTAGTTAAATCATCCAAACGGCTTGGTGGATCCCAAGATACTTGGGGTTAAAGGCGCGAACATAGGGATCTGCAAAGTCACTGTTACACAAAGGATAATCGTCTAATAGACGATTGTTCTTTGTGTAACAGTAACTTTGCAGATCCCTATGTTCTAAGACCAGAAGAGACCTTTACTTAGTAGAACTTTCTTTAATTTTCAAAAGATTGCTTTAGCCAATCATATTATTACTTTAATTTTACAGGGGTTGTAAAGACAAAAAATACACCAACTTTAAAGCAAGATCCTTTTAAAACTATTTGGTATTTAGGTTTATAGCTTTTGTTAAAGAATCATTAAATGCTAAAGAGCATAAGTTCTATATTTAAAATTATTTTTTACATTTACTTTATTGAATAAATTAAAAAAAAGTATTTTTTTTTGTCAAATTTTATATATAAGTTTGGGTGAGTCAACTCATTTGATTTATATTTGACAACATTTTGAACCCCTGTAAGAGGACATGTCTCTTGCCTGTTATTGAGTTTAGTATCATTTTTACATATGGAATTGTATTTGTTTATCCATTATGAACGCACTTATAGTAATTACAGTAGTAGGAACTGTACATTAACTGAATTAATGAGTAAAGTTATAAGTCTTGCTCTTCTCTTCCCTTCATTTCAACCAATAAGGCATAGATTAAATATGCAAAAAGAAGAAAAAGTAAAACATAATTGCTGGTATGAACTTTTTAATATAAAATATCACATATCCCTCAACATGTCCCGTCTCAGCATATCTTTTATAATGAATTAATGCCTTGTGTTCATCCTTTTCTACGCCAATCCCATTTTGATAACAATACCCAACATGTAATATTCCATCAGTATTTCCCATTTCTGCAGATTCTCGGTAATTAATGAATGCGTTATGTTCGTTCTTTTCAACTCCAATACCAAAATGATAACAATAACCAAGGCTAAATATTCCTTTAACATTCTTCATCTCAGCAGATTTTTGATTACGGTATCATAGCCTACTATTTAAGATTTTTAAAATTTTGTCGATCAATTTATTAAAAAAATTTATCATAGTAATTTTATAATAAAAACAGCATATTTTTAAAATGTTCTACCTCTCGCTCCAGCAGAGCAAATTCAATTCTGTAACTTGCGAATGGTATATAAATAGGATGTTTTTAAAACTATGTTGAGATATTTTTCATTTTATTTTATTAATTTGGCTAAAATTATGAATTAATAATTATTTTAACGATTAAATTATAGAGAACTACTAAAATTTACATATTAATATTAAAAATGGCAACATAGTTTTAAAAGCACACTATTTATATGCCATTTACACGTTACAGAATTAAATTTGCTTTACTATAACGGAAGTTAGAACGGTTTAATGGTATTATTTAAACGATTAAGTTATAGAGACCTACTAAAATTTATATATTGGATTAAATATAGCAACATAGTTTTAAAACTGCACTATGTTTATATCATTCTCAAGTCACAGAGTTGAATTTGCTTTACTAGAAAGGGAGTTACAACATTTTAAAAATACATAGTTTTATTATAATAAATTTTTTTAATTAATTGATCGACAAAATTTTAAAAATCTTGCTAATCATATAATGCTAATCGATCCGAAGTGTCGTGTAACCTACGATCGGCTTAGTCGAACTAGAGGTGTTTATTTGGCGAGTGGGTATTTGGGTCGTAGGTACGTTTCTTTGACTTGTATTGGAGACCGGATAACACACAGACGGCTTTCTTCTTATCAACTATCGATTCACAAAAACCACGACTTGGTCCTTCCACTTGGACTTCAAACCGGAACACTATAACCACAACTTTCCACGGTACGTTGGGAGAGTTGGACAACAATAACCACGGAAACCCTCAGTCCGTCGAGAATCAACCGGAAAACAATTTTATGCGAAGTCACGTGAGCAAGAAAATTATGAGAACAAAGACCTTTCACTATGCACTTAGTGATTGATCTTGGGTAAAAGTATTAGTCAGAACGTATTTATTTAGGATCTTAAGGGTTTTATAGGGCAAGAGATAATATTTATTAGGGAACGATAATTGCAAGCAGCACGAAACTTATTTTCTCAGGGCCTTCGCGGCCTTTATTTATAATGAAAGATTCGATATTACAGTAAATGACATAAATGCCATAAATCTAATTATACAACAAATTCCATAAATGCGATAAATTCCATAAATGCAACAAATGCGATAAATGCAAAAAAATTGCATTCAATCCCGTGATCTGAGTTCGTACTTGGGCCGCAATAGTTCTGTAGTTGGAACGGTTTCCGGGGCTCGCATTAGCTTTTGATCGTCGCTTTTACTTCGAGTTACCGTCATTCAAGTGGCACTTATTTCACTTAGTCTTTTTATTTGCATTAATTGTCTTTATTTAATTTACTTTACAGAAATTGAACTTGCTAAAAATTCGCTTTTAACAGCGCTGATAATGTACTATTAAATGCAAAATTTTGACTAGTATTTTTTTACTGTAATTTAATTTTATAAACGTGTTTGCCAATTATTTTATGCTTATAAAATGCTAATATTTTCGATACGTAATTTAACTAATTTAATGGGTATGCTATAATGAAATAATCTTGTATAAACAATCAGATTTGCCAACTTAGTCCACTTTATCTTGCTATGGTATATCTCGAAATTGTTATATTTTTTACAAAGTATCTTTAAGAATCTCTAAATTTTATTCAGAAGTAAATTTTGTCATAATAGTCCAAAAATAGGTTATTCATTTTATTTGTTTGATTCAATCTCTTTCTACGCTAAATCGTGACATGACAAACTATAATATACGCATATTATTGTCAAAACTGAATATGCCAATATAAACAAAATTACAAATTACGACATTGCCCTAAATTTATGATGCTGCATATGACGTATAAGTTAATATTTTTAATAAATATATACAATAATTCATATAGAAGGAGATGGGTTTGATATATTAATCTTATTAGATTTGGGTTCAATGCGTCATGTGGTTGATATGTAATAATTACGATGCCAAATAGTAATTCAGTGTTAATAATTTGGACCCAATTTCCAAAAATTCTTAGTGACGATTTTCAAAAATTAATCCAGAATTAGATGGGAAATAACTTGATGACATCCTTATTGGAAAAACAATTTCACCACTTTCAGTTCTAATACTATATTTTAAAATCAAATTGTGTAAACCCATCTTGATTTCATTAACTGCAAAAAATCTACCAGGACATGCATGTTTACCACCTCCAAAAATTACGGAAGATCTGTCGACTTTTGTAGCTGGTGAGTGAATAACTTTGCCATTCGGATATGAAGTTATGTGCCGTTTTGGTTGAAAGTCACTTGATGATTCTCCAAAGAATTTATCATTGAAGGCTGTATCTTTCATATAGAGATAAACATCGCGACCTGTATAGATGTTGAGGTAAATCAATATAAAATAAAATAAATAAATATATAAATATATAAATTATTAATTAAAGAATAAATATACCTTTAGGTACAGTGGTTCCGTTGCTAAATGTATATGAATCACTAATTACAGTGTGTGGTAAATTGGCTAATTTTATAAATAAAAGAGTTAAAATAAAGAGGCAAAAGAATCAATTTTATTATATACAATAGAATTCTATCAAATATAATCAAGTCAAATGTTAAAGTGTAATTACCTATATCTGTAGAATGTCTAAGAGATTCTTTTATAAAACAGTCTAATTTTACCATTTTATTAATATCTTCTGTGCTCAAAGAACCATTTGATTCATTATGAATTTTTAATTGTTCTTCATAAAGTTCATCCCATAACTCTGGTCTTCCACCATAATCTAATTTATTAGATTAATTCTCAAAGTTAAAATCTATTAATTAAATATAAAAGAATATATAGAATAAAATAGAATAAATTTAAATTACCAAATAGGGCAAATGAAAGAGCTCTGGAAGTTGTATTAATCGAAGCAAAAACTATCAAATATAATTCTCCAAATAAATTGTCCATAAATTTATCATCTATAACATCTGTTTTTGATTCACTTATATGGAAATCAAGTAAATCTTCCTATTAATCAAAAAAAAAAAAAAATCATTAGACATTTTTTAAAGCAGGTTAAAATTAAAAAAGAAAGCATACTTTTTGAACATATTTTTCACCAAGTTCTTTTCTTTGGCGGATGCGTTCCTCAACAATTGGTTTACAACGTTGAACAAAAAGATCTCTATGTCGAATTATTGGATTCCATCCAAATTTTAATGGTAACCTATTGAAAAAGATATTTTTTAAGTAACAGATTCATAAACCAAAGCAGAAATTCATCAATACAAAAAAGTCTGGCCGATCATCATACATGGCAAAAAATTTATAAAGCAAAGGATGAATAAATAATAAAAATTTCGGAACAAATTTCATCTTATGTAATTCATTCTCTACTATTGTAAATGAAATTATAATGTCTTCAAATTGTGCACCTTCCTTTAAGATTAAAAATAATTAGAATTATTATTTTTATTTAAAAAATTTATATTATTATTTATAAAACTTACTTCACCAAGAATAACATTTGCAACAGGTTTGGCAATTATTCGTGCTGTCACTTCTCGAATATTTTTGAAAATCTTTGGTTCTGAAATTATTTATTCACTTTAGATAATGCTTATGTAATAATCTCAAGTAATAAAGATATAATAAAGATATATTAAAAGATATATTAAAAGGTATAATAAAGTTTAAACAAATACCTTTACAATCTCCAATATATTTTTCAATCTCGGTTAAAAGTTCATTTTGCATTCTTGATACGTAAATATTAATTTTACCACTGACTTGATCATGAACCACTCGGGCCGTGTTTGATGGTGAGTAATTTTCAATGAATTGTTTGAAAATATCACTAACTGGAAATGTCTGTTATGATAGAAATAAATAAAAGATATTTTATATTATATTTTCTACTTAAATTCAGCCAGTGCAACATCGGAAGAAAGTACATATGTATTGACACCAAGTCACGACATACATATATTTCTATATTTAATGACAAAAATGAATGAAAACTAACTATATCGATATACATCGATATATATCTGCATAGGTACACACCTTATTTGTAGCCTCATTAAGATCGAAAACGTCAGAATGCCTTAGGACCTCAGGGCTGCTATCAGCCCCTGTGAAGGTTCTTACACTTCCAAAGACGTATAAACTAAATGGTTCACCATACTTTATGTAAAAAATAAAAAATAAAAAAGGATTATTAAAAAATGTTGAATCAAAGAAACATTAAATAGGTGATTGCATTTTTACCTTTGCCTTACACTCCTTGAGAAAATTTTCAGAGTCGTGTAGAAACTTATATGTATGCCCAATTATTGGAAATTGATATGGTACTAATGGTGGTTCATTCTATCAAAAAATGATTTCTTGTTACAAAAAATAATAATAATGATAATAATAATAACCATTAAATAAAATGAGACTAAGATTACCACGCCTATTCGAGGTCGCTTGATCAAATGAAATATAAATGCAACAATAAGTAATAAACCGAAAATTTCAACATATGCCATTTTCTTTGATGAAGAAGAAATTATAGTATTAGCTTATATATTTTTCTTTGATGTAGAAGAAGTTATAACAATAGCTTATAAATATTTTTTGATGGAGTGGAAGTTATAACGATGGCTTATATATATGTGATCAATTTTATGTATATATGACGTATGTACTTTTACTCTAAAAATAATTTTTTATAGGGTTCTGATGTTCCACAGTCCGGTTCGTTCCGGGTTTTACAATATTGATTCATGTATGTAGTTCTTATTATTCTGCAACAAATAAAAAGAGTATAAATGTTACTTCTTTTTAGCGTTTTTTTGTTGGCGGAATTCATTTTCTGACAATCATTTTCTTGACATCTAAATTTGCCTGATTTATAGTTACGATTAGCACCAAAATTAGTTATATATTTTAATAGAATTAGCCACAATTTTGCTAAAGTCAATTAAATAAATTGAATAAAATCAAATCTAGAATATAGCCATAATCAGTGATTATCGTATCATTAAAGACATTTTTATTCATTCAAAAGCATAAATTACGTAAATGTGAAAATTTAAAATAGGATCATTTACAATAAATTAAAAAGAATATATGATGATCAAATCTCCTCTCGAATAAGATACAGAACAAATATAAAAGAGCTTCGCCACAGACACGTCGAAGATCAAACTTTAATATATAGACTAGAAGTTAGAACCGTCACTAAACCGGGTTAGATTTAAACATCTTCATTACCATACCGCAGGATAAAGGTGAATAATTGACGTTTCTCAAATTTTCCTTTGTATAATACGAGATGTAAGAAGACAGCAATCATGTGAGTTTTAGCCATTCAATGATGTAGCATGAAAATCAAATAATTAAATAAAGCAAAATAATCATTCTAACAGCTTTTTATGACTAGTATTAGGATGTGAAAATTTGTGGTATAAAAAATCATTCTAACAACCACTTATGGTTAGTCTTAAGATGGGAAAGTTCGTATTATAAAATTATTCTAACGGCTCATTAGGGTAAGTCTTAAGATGGGAAAGTTCGTATTATAAAATTATTCTAACGGCTCATTAGGGTTAGTATTTGGTATTTTGATTAGGAAATCTTTATTATAGGTCTCCGCCACAACAATATTCGAATATTCGAATACTATTATAAATTTAGAAAATGTGAACGACTTTAAATAGACATAAAGTCTTGTGAAGTCATTGATTCGCAGAAAAATTGGCGCATTTATGGGTTACCAAAAAAGGTATTAATCATGATCTGATTCGCATTATTATACCTTTTGTCATAGCAGTGTATAAAATCTATGTGCACAATGTCCTTATGAGCACATGTTTTTAAAAAATTTCACATATTTTAGCTATAAATGTGTACGTAATTCACAAGCTTTCTAACCACATAGTTCACCAAAATTATTAATAAAATCTTAACTATGTGCACATAGAGCACATTGCGTACATAATTTATAAAAATTTAAAATGATTCATCTTTAGCATATAATAGAAAATAAATAATTTATTTATTTTATTTTTAAACAGATTTAAACAGATTTATATTATTTTATCAATAATTATTTCATATAGCATATACTGTAGTATGTAATTTACAAGTTTGTTATTTTTACAGATAATTAATTCACAGAAAGCACACTTTGTAGATGGTTTTTACCAACAAATTATAGTGCATGTATTTTAAATTTGTACACATATATTTTATAGTATTATAAAAATTTATAGTGCACTAATTTTTAAAATTATTTACATATATTAAGAGTGTACTGTGCATATTATTTATATATTTTTGAGATAAGATTTTACACACTGTATGTATGTGCATATGTACCTATAAATTGTGATCTATAACTATTATTATACATTATTGTTATATATTTATTTAAACTTTATTATAATTATTAATGTTGATAATATTCTGGCAATTTACAGTATTTAATTTGCAAGTAATCTTGTGTTATTATTTTATAAATTTATTAAAATAATAGTATTCTCAAGAATAGAATAGCATGCTACCAAATAGTATAGACACAGAAAAAAGTGAGAAAAAAGCATTTGAATAAGGCTATACAAATTTAATTACTTGGTTTTTATAATATGAAACTTTCAAATAGACCTGTTTGGCTGGCTTTTTTTAAAAATTTTTTAGAAGTTTTCAAAATTTGACCTGACTGGATTATAAAAACCAATTATTTGATTTTGCATGGCCTAATGCTTAAAAATTTTTTTTAAAAAAATTTTGAACAATTCTGGCAAAATAATATAGAAGCAGTATTTCTAAATTAAAGCTTTAACGAATTTTAAAAGGATTTTTTTATAATTCAATGCTTATAACATTTTAACTATTGTTTTTATTATATTGATACTATAACAATTAAAATAATAGAATTGATGATTATAATCATATTTCGTGATCAGGTACATATTTGCTTGGGTTTGCATATTTTTATATTGAGTATTTATAAAATATTTAGGATCTAGATTGTTTGGAATAGATAGAGTTGGCTGTGTTATTTTACTTATTAATTTTACCAAAGTTCTAATTTATAAAGACATTTTCAAATTAGCAATTGTATATATTATACAAATAATTAACCAAATATAAAGCTTTTTTATATTAGTAAATTCAAAATTAAAGTCTATAACTTTTAACAATGCAATTGTAAAGCTAACCCAAAATATTAATTACAATCAAACCTCTCTATAATCACACATTTGGATACTAAACATTGTGATTGTAAAGAAGTGTGACAATTATAGAGGTCAAATTTATTATAGTCAACCCTCTCTATAATTACGCACTTGGGGTACTAAACAGTGTGATTGTAAAGAAGTGTAACAATTATAGAGGTCAAATTTATTATATTTAATAATAGGTTGGTTTTTAAAAAAATGAATTTATAAAGAAAATGTGCTTATATAGGAGGTAATTAGTGCTCAGCACAATCAAACAAAAATTTGACAGTCAAATACTTGTTAATACTTGTGATTAAGTCGGACATCAAATGATTGCAGATTAACCAATAGTATATATTTAGCTTTGATTAATCTGCAATCATTTGACATCCGATTTAAACATAAGTATTAACAAATATTTGACTATCAAATTTTTGTTTGATTGTGCTGAGCACTAGAGGTGACTATAGAGAGGTTTGACTGTATATTTAATAATAGGTTGGTTTTAAAAAAAATAGATTTATAAAGAAAATGTGCTTATATAGGAGGTGACTATAAAGAGGTTTGACTGTATTGTGTATTCTGTAATTTTGAAATCTAGAAACTTTAACTAAGATATAGTTTTATAAATTTACTAATATGTCTTAGAAAATAAATCAAAAAATAATTATACTGATAAAAAAATATAAAATAAATATTGCAATAAATAATATATTTAATAATTTAGGATATTAATTATACTACAAGTAGTCTAGCTAATTTAGTAATAATAAAAAATCTGAAATTATAGCAAAATAATTTTTTTTTGGATATTTTTCAAAAAATGCTAAAAAAAATTAGCAATAAAAATAAAAAAAATTAAAAAGATTATTAACAATCTAAAGCAATTTGGTATTTGAATAATAAAATTTAGCATATAAAATATGAATAAACAATAAAAATACTATATTATATCAGAGATTTACAGAATAGATCTAAATTAGGGTCCCTGGATTTAACAATTGTAGAATGCATAATAGCTAAAATTTTGGGGTCAACTTAACAATCACATTGTTAAAATGTATAAATCTTAATTTAGATCAATTTCACAAATTAGCCAATATGTATAGGTATCTAAAATTAAAATCTAATAAATATTTAAATAAACTTTCAAAGCTATAACTTAAATATAAATTTAATTTGGTAAAATATTTTTAAAAATTAAAATATTTATTAAGAAATAGGCAATAAATAGTACTGTCAAATTAATTCTTATTACTATTATAATAAACATTATTACAACTTCTTAAGAAACTGAATTTAAAACAAAATTAAGCTTTTACAAATGATAATAGTGATAAAAAAAATGTTGGATTAAATTAGCTCAATTTGGTTTAAGTAGAATGTTTAATGAAGATAGTATTTTACTATGCTTGATGCTTTAATTGCAGTGCTGCACATAGATGAAAATTTCAAAGATACAAACAGTCCCAGATTATGTCTATATCCCAGACAATGTCTCATCTCTGTGATATCATATTATATAAGGCTTTATTAAGCAACCTGATTAGCCAACTTGACCCTTTTATTATAATTTTAATTGCCTTGGACATTAGTGCACTATGGTGTCGTGGGCAAAACTGAGAAAACGAAGTGAGTCGGGATAATCACCAAACTACACAACAAAAGATTTGGAAAGTTCGTATTATAAAATTATTCTAACGGCTCATTAGGGTTAGTATTTGGTATTTTGATTAGGAAATCTATATTATAGGTCTCCGCCACAACAATATTCGAATATTCGAATACTATTATAAATT